AATATGTACTGTAATTATATGGTACAGAAATTCCTAAATGCAAAAAAACTTACATAACAATTATTCCCAGGCAGTCGTTACTAATAGGATACATGATACAAGCCAAAATGCAAATATATCATGAAGAGAAACTCAAACTCTATTCTGTTCCCAGAAAAATAATATTTAATAGTAAAGATCAATTCACAGTTAAAAATGACAAAATACACGAGCCAATAATCTAACATGGAAAAACGCACATGGAAGGAGAAAGAGGATTGATACTCCTAAAATTTAAACTATTAGAAAATCTTAAAATGTTTTTATAATTTGGTACATAGAACCTAAGAATAAGACTGTATCAAAGAAAACACACATTTTTAAGATGAGCAAATGAAACTTATTGAGATAAAAAGAAAGTTATCCATATCAAAAAGCTAAATAGATTGTTTAAGCAGCAGATGAGACAGGATCAAAAAAAAAGTAGTGAACTGGAATATGAGTTTAAGGAAATTATCTGGAATAAAGCACATACAAAATGGGAATGAATTTATACCTGTAATCACTGCAGTGAAACCTCAGAACACTGTAAAAGCCATCAGAGAAGGGGGAGAGGTCAGACTACCTACAAAGGTACAAGGCTAAAAGCGAGAAGAAAATGGAATATCTCCAAATATTTTAATTTTGATGCTCTGGAGATGAATCATCACTGTAGAGCACATACTAAATTAGGCATTTTAGATAAAGAATGAGAGAATTTATCAATCTCAGATAATTCTTGGAAAAATTTCTAAAGCACTATAAAACAAAAAGCAATGTTTTTTTTTAAATCAAAGAGTGACTATAGACTAAAAATTCAGGTACACATGTTATTTACTATAGGCAGCAACAGCAGAGATCATTATTTCATGGGTCAAAAACACAGAACTAAAATGTTAGAAAGTATTATATGAAAGAGTTGGGAGGTAATGCAAGTTAAAAGGTTCTAAGTGTTAGTTTTGGAGGATGGAGGAGATCATCATCAATTGAAACATGTTAAAAAGGCAAAGGTAACTACTAAAGGAATCATGTGTACTTTACATAGAGTAAGAAATAAAAGGAATAGAGAAAACCCAATCAATCCAATAGAAGAGAAAGAAAGGAAGAAAAGAAGAAAGAAAAAGAGAGAGAGGAAGGAAAGAGGGAAGGAAGGAAGAAGGGAGGGCGGGAAGGAGGGAAGGAAGGAAAGAAAGGAAGGAAGGAGCAAAGAAAAACATGAGAAATAGAAAGCATATAAAATGATGTTAGAAATAGTCCAAACTTATTGGTAGGCACCATAAATTTTAAAAGATTAAACTATCAGATAATAGAAATAATAAAAACTTCAAACCAAGCTATATTCTGTTTATAAAACAAAATCCTAGTGCAAAATGACAAAAAAGGGTTGAAACTGGAGGGAAAGGGGAACATATGGCTAGCAACTATTACCAAAATAGAGGTAATGTACCTCTGCTACTAGCAAACCAAATAGGCATTAGGGCATGAAGCACTTTCATGTACAAAGAGGGTTATTACATAGTGATAACAGGAATGATTTCTCAGGCAGCTCTAATAATCTCAACAGGGATGTCCATGGTAACATAACTTCAAAATATAGAAAGCAAAATCAATTGAATGCACAAAATGTCCATAACCTTGATGAGAGATTAACTGACACCTAAAATGGGCTGAAAATAAGGGTAGGTTTGAAACACAATTTGTATACTTTGTCTGATGGACACATATTGATTCCTGTACCCAGCTATTAGAGAACGTAACTTGCTTTCCAAAACATGTGGGCAAGGACTGGAAATACAAAGCAAGTTTCCACAAATACTAAAATAGATGTGCTATACAGACCGCCAGGCTATTTAATTAGACTTCAGTAATAAAAAGGATGCCCTCAACTCCCAAATATTAGGACATTTTAAAACAGATGTTATACATATGCAAGAAAACACACACACACAAATCCTATCAGTCACTGACAATTTTAAAAGTTTTACCAAACCTTCAAGAAACAGGTACTGGATTCCATCTTATATAAAATGCTGCAGATATTACAGAAGGAGGGAAACTATAAGTAATTTCGTGGCAATAAAATGACCTTAATAGGAAAGCCAAATGACAGTGCAAGGAAGAAAAAGTAACACCACGCTCCCTTTTAAGCATAAAAACAAAAAGTTCACAGTGTAAGTAAATTGAATTCAGCAATATGTGTGATATATTTTTATTTTTAGTTTTTTGAGATGTAGTCTAGCTCTGTTGCCTGGGCTGGAGTGCAGTCGCAAGATCTTGGCTCACTGCAACCTCCACCTCCCGGGTTCAAGCAATTCTCCTGCCTCATCCTCCCAACTAGCTGGGATTACAGGCACCCGCTACCATACCCGGCTAATTTTTGTATTTTCAGTACAGGCGGAGTTTCACCATGTTGGCCAGACTGGTCTTGAACTCCTGATCTCAGGTGATCCGCCCGCCTCAGCCTCCCAAAGTGCTGGGATTATAGGCATGAGCCACCGCACCGAGCCTATTCATGACAATGAAGTTCCATCCCGAAAAAGCAAGTATATTTTCACATTTGATAATCTGTATACTATTAATATGTACAAACTACACATATGTAATATATACTACATATATTATGTATAATATGTATTATATAATATGCCATATATATTATTTATGAAAACTCATGAAATATACATGACTATAGATATCATCATGAAATATATAAACAATACATACATATGATATGTATATACAATACATATATCATAGCTATAAAAACTATCAGAATTCATGGAAATTAATAAGCTAATTCCCAAATTATTTTATATATTTCATGATTTTTAAATTTAAAAATATCAGTGTAACTTAACATGTTAACAAATTAAAGAAAATTATTTCTGTAACGGATGTAGAATTTTCTTTATAAAATTCAACATCCATTTAGGTTTCTTTTTTTTATTGCATTGTAGGTTTTGGGGTACATGTGAAGAACATGCAAGATAGTTGCATAAGTACACATGTGGCAGTGTGATTTGTTGCCTTCCTCCCCTTCACCTATATCTGGCATTTCTCCCCCTGCTATCTCTCCCCAACTCCCCACCCCACTCTGTACCTTCCCTATTCCCCGCAACAGACCCCAGTCTGTAGTGCTCCCCTCCCTGTGTCCATGTGTTCTCCTTGTTCAACACACGCCTATGAGTGAGAACATGCGTTATTTCATTTTCTGTTCTTGTGTCAGTTGCATTTAGGTTTCAAACAATAACAATGGCAACAAAAACTCTTACATAAGTTTTCTTTAACCTCATAGTTAACTACCAGAAATCTACAGCAATTCTGGAAATGAGTAATAGTGATGATTGCACAACACTGTAAATATACTTAATGCCTTTGAATTATACATTTTAAAATGGTTAAAATGGTAAATTTTATATTCTTTATATTTTATGAGAATGAAAAAGTCCTTAAGCAAACATACTTAACATGTAATTACTGGAAGCACTTCCTTTAAATCAGGAATGAGACACGGTTGCCTAATCTCATTGCTTCTATTTAACGATGTGTCAGTAGTATAATAAAACAGAAAGCAATAAGTATGGTGATTCGAAAGGAAACTTTTCACAAATTGTATTACTGTCTATGCAAAAAGTCCAAGAGCATCCATACACAAACAGTTTGATCTCAAAGAGCATTCAGCAGTGTGTTGGATATAATTTTCAATATATAGTAATCAGTGATGGGTTCATATACTAGTAATTACAAATTAGAAAAGTAGTTTTAAATATATACTATTTATAATGGAAAAACTATGGGCTGTGTAGTTATAAATATTAAACAAATAAGTTATAAAATTGTATTAAAGGCACAAAAAGGCATGAAACTAAAGAGACATAGTTTATTAATGGGAAGTCCAGTATTATTTAAAAAAAGCAGTTATCTTTAAATTGATCTATAACATACAGCAATTTTAATCAAAACCCTATCAGAATTCATGAAAATTAACAAGCTAGCTCCAGAATTAGTATGCAAGAGTAAATAGCCAAGAATAATTAAGAAAACTTAGAAAAAGAATAAGAAGCTTGTTCTCCTAAATACCAAGTCATATTACAAAGCTATAATAATTAAAGAGACATGGTATTGATAGATAAGTATTAACAAATCTTAAAATCTAGAAACAGATCTGCATGTAGATGGGAACTCAGCCCCTGAGTAAACTTATTAAAAAAAAAAAAGAAAAGAAAATTTCTATCTATTTTGTGCCTGTTTGTCCCAGCTACTTGGGAGGCTGAGACAGGAAGATTGCTTGAGCCCAAGATTTGAGACCAGCTCAGACAACATAGTAAGGCCCCGTCTCTTTAAAAAAAAAAAAAAAAGTGTGTGTAAATGTCAAATCATGGAATAGAAAGACCCACATACAATGCATATGATTGTAAAGAAATAGTATCCAAAATACAAAGAACACTCAAATCAATAAAGAATAGATCCAAACACCAAGTTGGGAACTGCCCAATTGGAATAAAGAGGTCAGAAACCCCAAATAACCAATAAAACCATTAAAAGAGGCTCAACCTCATTAGTAATTAGGGAAATGCATATTCAACCACCAAGAAACATTTCCAATACATCAGATTTGGGTAAATCCTGAAGGCTTGTGCCTTCAATAAAGATACATAAGGACATTCTTGAACATGCAGTTCAAATTGCCAACTGTCAATTGAGAGAGCACAAACTAGGACTTTCACCAAACATCAACTAACTGACCTATATTTCTCCTACTGCAGGTTGTATTTTCATGCATCCTGAATGCTCCCCAATGTCTAGAATATCTTATAAAGCCAAGTTGGTGTTTCTTCCAAGCTGAAAGAAATACTTCCTTACACAAGAGGGCAGCCATGTTTTCCATTGGTGTAACTGCTTGCCAGTCACACAGACCTATGGGGAAAGCTCTGTGCTGAGCAGAAGGGTGTAGGGGGTTAGGAGGTCGGGGAAAGGCTTACTTGGAGCAGTCTTCACAAGCAATATTCCCTGTGGTCTCCTTGATGGTGCGCTCAGAGACAAAGGCTGGATATTCGGTATCACAAGGCTCCAGGGTCTGTTTCAATTTCTGGGCTGTAGGAATAGGGGGAAAAAAAAGGTAAAAAATGCTAGGCACAGGCTCAATATTGTGACTGGCAGCCCACAGCAACTCAGAACACAGTTCCGCTTCTGCTGCTCTGTGATTTTTCTAGCACAGCATAATGCATTATTTTCTAATTAGTAAAGTGATTTCATGTGCCAAGCAACTCTATAAGCTATAATTCCTCCAGCAGTTGTGTTGGCTCGATCAGCTATCATTTATGCATCACAAGAATTCCACTTTCTGGGACAACATCAGTCACCGGGTCTCTGACCTCAGACTTACTCAAACTTAGCAACAACACATATGTATATGTGAGTAAGTGTATAAAATGTAAGTTATACCATATTATTTAGGGTGAGACAAAGGTCATGATACAATTGCATGGTTTTATTATAGAAAGAAAATTGAAATATGAAATAGTAAAATACGTAATGTCTTTGAAGCACAGCCATGAACCAAATCCTACTATTATGAAGCTCTTTGTCCAATAATATACCACGTCAATTTTAAAGCACTAAGGAACGTTGGTATGTGGATGAGCACACAGTAGGCACTCGGTAAAGGCTTGGCAGTTGATTGTCTAGCGGGCAAGATCCAAAACCTCTCTAGGTCTCAGTTTTCTTACTTGTAAATTGAGGATAATAAAGTTCTATCAGAGGTTGATGTGAGAAGTAAATGAAACAGTGTATGTTGAGTACTTAGCACAGTACCTGGAACATAACAAGCATTAAGTAAATTTCAAATAATGATAGTAACAACAAAAATAACAGTAGCATTCTAATGAAGCCACTGTGATATTAAAATGATCAAAAGAATGATAGACACTATAGCTTAGTGGTTAAGGGTGAAGGCTCTGAAGTAAAAGAAGAAGTTTGAAGTATGACTCCCTGCTCTGCTACTTCTAGTGCATCCTCACTATTCTCAGCTGTAAAATGGGGATACTAGTAGTACAGGTACTCTTCCCAGGAGGTCGATGTGCTAGCATTTCCCCAGGAGAATGCTTACAGGTTTCCAATACCAAACTTTGTACAAAGCCTTCAGTTATTGTTTTTGTAGGAAAAAAAAAAAAAAAAATATATATATATATATATATATATATATTATTTACATTTACAATTTCAAAACTCAGTAAGATTTAAAGAAACCTATGTGTGGACAAAGTCTTATGCTACATTCCAAATATAACTGGCTGGTGGGCAGAACTACGGGGAGATGTTTTGTCCACTGTCCGTGTGGGATGCTACTGTACGCAAAACAACTGCTGGGTAACAACCAAACCCTTGTGGGGTGATCAGGAAACCATTCTAAGCATTTGTAATATCCTAACATGATGGTTTCTTTTATGCAGGCTTTTCACTGAGCTTTAATTATTTTGAGGAAATTGGTTGGGGATTTGGGGTTGGAGAACAATGCATTGTAATCTCTGTTATTTGAAACAAAAGGAAGTAGACTCTTCATCATCCCTTTTAATCAGAACATAGGATTTTCAGTAATTGGTCACTTAACTGGACATTACGGGGAAATGCCTATAGTAACCTCACAGGATCACTCTGAGGAATAAACGAACAAAAGCATGTACAGCTCTGAACAGAGTGAAGCATGCACACACGTTTGCCCACCCACATGCATACACACAGCCTTCACCAAATGCTAGTCATTAGCAAGTGTTACCATCCACAGGCCAGAAGCTGGCTAGTATGTAGTAGCTAAAAGCACCAATTCCAGGCAGTGAATCCTGCCACTGCTGTGTGATAGCTTTTAACCTTTTAACCTTTCTACACCTTAGGGTCCTCATCTGCAAAATGGAAATAGCAGTACCAAACTCACGTGTTTGAGAATCAAATGAATTACATGGACAGCAGCCGGCACGCTGTGAGTGCTGCTTGTGTATGTTGTTACTGCCACCACAACTCCTCCTGCACTCGTGCTAGTTCATGGAGTCAGGCTTTTTGAGCCGTCACTTTTTGGTAGAATAGGCAAGAAAATGGCTACCTCTCTGACTCCTGACTCTGCTGATGGTACGGTGCTGGTAGTCATTCTCCAGAAAGGCCACGTTCCAGACCCTGTCCCTCTGTCCCCACGATGCTAGCCCATTGGAGGGAACATTAAATGCCTGCTGAATACAAGAATGACCCTCCTGAATAGTGTTTCCAAACAAATAAAATAGAATAAAATGGACCAAAAAATGTGAGAATTTCCGTCCCTTATGACACATTTCTTTCTTGCCTTTCAGGTGGAGGGTGAGGTGAGTTTTAGGTGCTCCAGGCCCAATTGTGACAACAGAGGAGAGGCACGTGGTGGGAACATCATTCTCTTCTCTAATCTTCCCAGTGCCTCTGTTTCGTAAGGAGGCCATCTTTGTTTGATTGTGGGGCATTTCTACCACCTTTCTGTCTTTTCACTTCTTTCTTTCATTTGCTCTCCCCTTCTTTCAGGCTGCAGAGGCCAAACACAGAGCTCAGCGGATCTGGCTACCATTTGGTAACACTTTATTCTCCTGGTTCTCATTTTTACAACTGATTTCTCTGTATGGTAAATCATTCTGGTTTTCAGTTTATAAAACTTCCTTTTCCTATTTAAATTATTTGAATTTCAAAAAGTGAGTCCATTGAAATAAAAATGTAAGTGTATAATAGCTTAGGTCATAAGTGGATATGGGACAAGCATGAAAATGGAATATAAAACCTAATGACGGCATAACAGCTACATTGATGAAGAAATTGCTGTGTTCCAGATGCCGTCCTGCTTTGTAGGTATTAATTTATTTAATGGTAAAACATGACAAAATTAAAAAGTAAACTATGAGGTATGAACGGTTGTTATCTGTTTTGCAGATGGTGAATGGTGGAAAGAGGACGAGGGTAAATTGCCCAGATTCATCCACTGAGTATGTGGCAGAACCAGAATTTGACCTTGGGCTGTCTGGCTCCAGCATGTATATGTTTAACTGCTCTGTGAAGCTTGGCCAATGGAAAAAAAAAAAAAAGAAAGGTCTCTGGGTCAGGCTGAGATAGGCAGCACACGTGATCTGAATAAGCCTGATAATTGCACCATCTCTAATTCTAACTGTCTGGGCCCAGTTACAAAGGAATGGGTCCAGCAATCTCAAGGGTGAGACTCATTTGGCTCTGACCCTTTCTGGAGATGAAATTCTTTTTCCTTTGACAATTGTAGGGTACTCCATGCTGATACAGTGATAAACCATTAGTTCTACGTGCAGCATGACTATAGATTGGCTGAAAGTTGCTTGATGTGCTTTTGGGAAATGTGAATTATCATATAAAACCATGGCCACATTTAATTTAAATAACATGGCTCGACCTTACTTTGTCTAGAATGCTATGGAAAACACCACATATATGTGCCGTGACTAGTATCTATCTATGGGATTTCAAACCGATCACTGAGACTGCTTGCAGTTCATTGGATACTGTTTTTGTTGTTAAAATTTCAGACAGAGTCTTGCTTTGTCGCCCAGCCTGGAGTACAGTGGTGTGATCTCAGCTCACTCAAGCTCAGCCTCCTGGGTTCCAACAATTCTTCTGCCTCAGCTTCCCAAGTAGCTGGGATTTTTTGTATTTTTAGTAGAGGCAGGGGTTTCACCATGTTGGTCAGGCTGGTCTTGAACTCCTGGCCTCAGTGATCCACCCACTTCGGCCTCCTAAAATGCTGGGATTATAGGCGTGAGCCGCGGTGCCCAGCCCTGTTGGATACTATTAACTCTTAGGCATTCAGAACTCACATATTACAAAACTTTAGGTATTCAAGGATCACTGAGCTTGGTTTGGTTGATTCCTTTGTTTTCCAGAAGGAAAAAAAAGGTTCCAAAAGCAGACACAGCCTGCCATGGGTCCCACAGAGAGTGACTCATCGCAATCATCATTAACTTATGCAGCAAACCACTACCACCTTCACCATCAGTCTTCACTATGCACTTACTACATGCCAAAACACATGCTAGGCCCTTAGCATGGGCAGAATCCTCATCATCACAGAATAAGCAAGTCCTTGCTACTGTCCCATTTTGCAGATGAAGAAACTAAAGCTCAAAAACAAAGATATTTGCCCAAGGTCCCACTGCAGTGAGTAATGGGGTCCTCAGATGTAAGTCCGGCCCTTCATATCCTGGAGCCCACACTGCTGTGCCTCCTATCCCAGTTACGCTGATGTCACCGTGACCTATCACTCACTCACAATGAAGCACCCAAGGGAGCATCTGCACAATTAAATTTCTTCAATTTTTCCTTAGCAACAAATGTCCCTGATGAGAATAACTGACTTGGGTTCACAGTAATTATGTGCAGACAATCAGGAATGAACAGATTTCCCATGTGAAAAGCCTTCCTCTTCTTTTGTTTCTGTGAATGCACCCCCGTTCACAACCGGGTGCCAGCAAGCTCTGTTCTCTTTGTGCAAATTCACCAAAATGATACCTTTGTGATAATCAAGCAGAAATGGGCTTCCACAGTCCCCCTCATTAAGGAAATGGAGCAGATAAACAGTGTAATTATGGATTCCATTTTTAGCTAAAAAGAAGATGTGTGCCTTAGCTCAGAGTCTTTATCTAGTGAGCGAATGGTAAATTTAGAATGAAGAAACCTTGCAAGTCAATAGCATATGGTGCCTGAAACATTTCCCTCCTTACACCGGGTCTGGGATTTATATTTACATTTAATAAGCTATCCCAATGACAGCAATCCTGTGGATGAGTGAATTCACCTCTGCTTGCTTTCATTTTTTTATCAACAAAATGGAAAAAGTCACAGTGATGCCCAGCAGAGGGCTGTTGGCTGGAATGAAACAATTCCAGTGCAGTAGCTGTGGCTCTCGCTGTCATCATTAGCTGAGGGAGGTCTCGGTTTACTTCTGACTTAGGTACATCAGAGAGGCTTGGTGGCAAATTCTAGCAGTCCCCACCTCTCAGGAACGTTGAACAGATCTGAAGATAACCTACGTGCCAGCTCCCCAGAAATGGCAAAGCACTTGCACATCAGCACACCATGCATCAGTGATGCAATTAGGTGACAAGGTCTCTCTGTAGTCTTTGGAGTGGAGTCAGAGGACATGTTGAAATTATCTATGAATTTTTCACAAAGCTCCAGAGAGAACTAACACACCGCATTATTCCTTTCAGCTAAAAATTTGACCACTTTTAGTCTGGCTGGGGTAAGGTTGGGGAAATTGCAGAATGGGAGCCTTCACAAGTGTCTCTCAGCATCATGGGTGCAGAGACCGTACCTTGCTCCCTTAGTCACTGTCCCCTACTCAGCACCCCTCGGTCTAGGCCAGAGTTTCTCAACAGCGGCACTATTGATATTTTGAGTGGGATAATTCTTTGCGGTGGGGCTGTCCTTTGTGTGGCAGGATGTTTAGCTGCACACCTGGCCTCTACTCACCAGATTCTAATAAGAACCCTCCTCCCTCCATGCTATGACAGCAAAAATGTCTCCAGTCATTCCCCTGGGAGGCAAAACTGCCCCCATTTGAAAAACCACTGTCCTAGGGAAAGATCACAGTGACTGGCATGCAATAAAAACTCTAGAATATGTAGGACCAAAATAAGAGTATGGCTAGATGCCTGTGGGGACAGGTCGCGAAGAAGGGAAACAGGTCAAGGTGAGGATGAGGGACGTGGGAGTGAATGCAGACGTGAAGAGAAGGGAACGTCTTCACTAGGTATGAAGAAGAACACCAAAAAGTAAACCACTGAAAACAACACACTACTGCCCTTAGCCCTGTGAACCCTTCTAAGAAATAACCAAACAGTAAAAAAACCACCACCACCTAAAACGTGAGCGCCCCGGGAAGACTTGTGCATGGTCTTGGGACGCATTGCTGGATTCACCTTTCACAGCCATGTTTTATCTATTGTTTCCTCTGTTGACAAATGAAACCAAAGTCCAAAGAGACCAAATGACTTTCCCAGAACCTCACAGCAAGCAAGAAGCAAGCAGCAGAGAAAGGCTACCCTGGGTTCCTAGTCACTAGGTTCAAATGCTGCTCTGGCCTCTGAGAGCTCACAGCCTGATTTGGACGAAGAGGGGATTTGTCTCTAGGTCACTGGTGCTGCAGAGAGAGAGCAGCCATTTAGTCAACTTGCAACCCATTTTCTTGGCCTCTATTGATTTTCTTAATCTCATTTATCTTTTTTTCACTCCTATTAGTAAAACTGTGGAAAAGTGAGTCAAATAAGAAAAGCAAATGGTAAAAGATAACCAAGTGCCCATTTCATAGGTTTCTCTTCGTCTCTTTTTTGAAATCATGTGCAATTTTAGTAAAAGCAAGTTAACACTACAGTTAAGATTTCCTTTTGGGGACATGATAGTTGTCTTTTCCTAACTCATATTTTGGTGTCTGTTTATTGACTCCTTGTTTTTCATACCAACTGCTGACCCTAATTAGCTCCACATCTCCTTCTTCCCACCATTTTATGTGTTTTTGTATATATACAGTTTTGTATGCTGGGTTTTGTCTTGTTTTGTTGTGAGCATTTTTAAATTTCATCAAAAAGTTTTCAGAAACAGAATGATTTCCGGGTTGTAATTTATTTTAAAATGGCCTAATTCTTAGACATTTAAAAAGTTACCAGTATTTGCAATTATAAATTCCCTGGTGATGATCAGCGTATCATAGAAACCTTTGTTTCCATCCAGGTTTTGTCCTCAGGCTGAATTTCTATAAGTGGGATTTGGGGCACTCACTGTCACTCAGAACCCAATCCAGCAGGGAGGACCAAGAATTGGGTCCAAGCCCTGGGGGTCACCAGGACAATGTGTGTGTGTGTGTGTGTGTGTGTGTGTAGATGAAAGGAGAGCACAGGGACCCTGCTCCACTGGGCTGTCAGCCTCCCAGGGCACAGCCAAGCCTAGACAGGCATGGATTAGGCTCCCAGTCATCAGAGAGCAAGGTATGCAGGCATCAGCAGGAGTGGGACTCAGCAGATGCTGCTCCATATCACGCTCTAACCAGAAACCAGACAGTTTTTGGAGTCAGGCAAAATGAGCCTATTTGTAAGTTATAAAGCTATGACTACAGTGACTCTAATGGTCATGCCTAGTACCAGAAAGATTTGTTAGGGTATTGAATCAGCAAAGATAAAGCACCTACTGTATGCTCAGCACCAGTTAGGTGTTAAGAGAGAACAGTGGTTAAGACACAGCTCCTACCATCAAGAAATTCTAGGTTAGCGTAAAACACACACAGTGAGGCAATAATGGTAAAGAAGAGATGGGATAACACATGACCTGACTGGGGCAGGAACAAGAAGAAAATGTTCATCCTGCCTGAGGGAGCTGAGGAACTCCTCACAGACTGGGATTTTTTATTTTTTTATTTTTATTTTTTTGAAACAGAGTTTAGCTCTTGTCGCCCAGGCTGGAGTGCAATGGTGAGATCATGGCTCACTACAATCTCTGCCTCCCAAGTTCAAGCGATTCTGCTCCCTCAGCCTCCAAAAGTAGCTGGGATTACAGGTGCCTGCCACCACACCCAGAAAACTTTTTTGTATTTTTAGTTGAGACGGGGTCACCATGTTGGTCAGGCTGGTCTTGAACTCCAGACCTCAGGTGATCCACCTGCCTAAGCCTCCCTAAGTGCCGGGATTACAGGCTTGAGCTACCACCCCCGGCCAACAGACTGGGATCTTAAGGGAAAGGAAAGGGAATGTTAGATTAAAATAGATCCAGCACCTGGGGAAATGCTGATAGATTACTAATTAATCTCTTTTTTAAAAGAAGATAGTTAGAAATAATAAGAATGGTAATAGCCTACTAGTCCCTGGCCTCCCCGGTAGGAAAAAGACCATGAATGAAGGAAGGAAGCAAAGAAAGAACAGAGTGTATCTGAGAAATGGCATGTGACTGGGCAGGCCTGGGGCAGGCTGCTGTAGCCAGCGTTCATGAAGGATCACTGGATTTGTAGGTGATCATCATCACTGTCACTGTCACAGTGTCACCGTGGTTATAATTACGGATACTGTTACTTTATTTTCTCTCCAACTTTTATTTTAGGTGTGGAGGGTACATGTGCAGGTTTTTTATATGGGTCAATTGCATGTCTCCAGGGTTTGGTATACAGATTATTTCATCATCCTGGTAGTAAGCATAGTCCCCAGTAGGTAGTTTTTCCATCCTCATCCTCCTCCCACCCTCACCCTTTACCCTCGAGTAGGCCCCAGTGTCTGTTGTTCCCTTCTTTGTGTCCAAGTGTACTCAGTGTTTAGCTTCCACTTATATGTGAGAACATGCAGTATTGCTACCACTTTTTAAGGACTTATTATGGTCCAGTCACTGTGGTCAGCATGTAACATGATTTCTCATAGCATTAAATACACATACACACACACACACACACATACAAGTTTCTCTCTCTCCTCTCTCTCTCTCTCTCTCTCTCTTCCTAAAAGATAGATATTACTTCTCCCATTGTGCTTAGCATAGGGAAACTGAGCCTTGGAGACAGATCAACTGACATGCCCAAGGCCAACCTCTGAGCTGGGACTGAAACCTGTACTGATTTAACATCATAAACCATGCCTCTAGGAGTCTCTACCAATTACACCCTCTTCAAATCATTGAAGGTATCTGAGAAGGGAGAGTAATGTGATCAGATTTATGTTCTATGAGGGTAACTGTGAAAACAAAAACAGAACGGCTAATCATTCATTTAGCCTGAGACACAGGCAATGCGTCTGTCTCCTTTCTATTTCAGCATTGCCCATGAGCTTTCTGAAGAATTTACCTGTGCAATGTATGACCTCAAAGCCTTAAAGAAACAGGTCAAGATGTACATTCAACATGGGCTGAATGAAAGCCTGTGGAATTCTGTGTCAGACTGGATAGCACAGCACTTGACACAAAGGGTGACTTTTTACTGAGAGAGCTGAAAAATCACCACTTTGTTCTGGGGAGTTTTCTGTGAACCAGCACATCCCTGATGAAAAGTAGCCAGTGAATCCAGCACTTATCCGTCCAAGCTGAGAAACAGAAACCAGTTGCCACTCACCTTTAGCTGTCATATCAGAGTGCCACCAACTGCAGAGGTTAAATTCCACCAGGAACCTAAACAGATTGTGGAAAGGCCCAATGTTACTTCACCATCCATGCCCATATCACGGAACAGTGACGTTCTGTATTCTTTAGCATCGTTTACCTCAATTGAAAGAACAACATCACAATTTGGAGACATCAACACATTTGGCTGAGTTACCACTGAAGTTTTACTGGGCTTTATCTTTCTTGTGAAAGGCTATTTCATCCCCAAAGTCAGGTTTACCTAGACTCAAAGATTCCTAGATGACGAATAATCTGCTGTATAGGCTGAAATGCTTTTCCAGGTATTGTTCACCAGTCATTCAGTCCTGATATAATCTAATTTGATTCTACAGTAAAAAGCCATTTTCTAAAGAGCTTCTCCTCCCTTAGTTCAGAAATATGAATGGAATATTCTCTTCTACCAAAACCATGATCTGTAGTAATAAAAGATGCTTTCAAAATGAATACTGTGACTCGAAATTGTTTCAGCCCCTCTATATGTGTGTGTGTGTGTGTGTGTGTGTGTGTGTGTGTATGTGTGTGTAGGGAGGTGCAATAGACTTCTATTTATGAAATTATGTCATAATGCAATTTCATAAGTCAACATTTCTCAATGGCTGATAAAGAATACAAAAATAATATAAATTATCCTCCAAATGGATGAAGAGAGATCAAAATTCAGTCATCTGTTTTTCAGGCTTATGGCTACTATTCCTAGCAGCTCTCTCTCAATCAAAATCCCAGTATTATCTGTTAATGTGCTGTCTCTGCCTCATGTGTGTATGGAGAATTTACTTCCCATTTGAATTCACAAACATTGTTAAATTAATATAGACTACATTAAATTAAGAGGACAGTGACTATCCATCAAATTGTTTCTGTAATGTGTCCAATATCTAGTCTGAAAGTTAAGAGTTTCATCTTTGTGCCATTTTGTGTTACCTAGGTTATAGATGCAACCAGCGCCTCTGAACAAGACTATAGTTTGACAGAATAAACAATTAAGTCACACCTGAGAAAGTCCCCAGCCCTAGCTGCCAATCTCACAGGTACCCATGCCTGCACAGGCCAAGTAGCATGGTGGACAGTCACAGCAGTGTGTTCTTCTGACCACAGCCCAGCCAGGTGGCATTAAAAGCAGCCAGACATCCATGCAAAATTGAACAGTAACCACAATAAGTAAATTTGGTTGTGTACTGCAAACTGTTAGTCTGCTAAACAATGACATAATAGCATAAGGAGTGATCATGAATCACTTAATAAAAAATCATTTTTTTGGTCTCTGTGTTCAATATTTTGAAATGTTCAATGAGGTTATCTCAGAGAACTAGGAATTTAATGGCTATTGGAAGCATGACTCATAATCTCTTAATTTACTTTATGATACAAAAAGGAAAATATTAACACTTTTCCAAAAATGCAGCAAATTTTACTTACAAGACAAGTTCTGTCATTATCCATTTTACTGCAGAGAGGAAGGCATTATAAGGCTGAAAAGAAGAATTCAGTTCATTAAAAACAATATACTGCACATAAAATTTGTAGTTTAATTTAGGGCTTTACATAAGGACAATGTTATTCTTCTAGGGAGATTGATATCATGTTAAAAAACAGTGGCATTCTAGCTAAGGGAAGAAATTATTGGATACTGTATCCTAAAACTAACATTTTAAAACTTTGAACTCTACTCTAGTGAGATGTGATTTATAAGTAAAATAAACCTGATCTAAGACAAGGGTTATCACTGGGAGGAAAAAGGAAGTTCAGCACCGGTTGCTTAAACCTTTACCCTCTAGGGGCTAATATTTTGAAGCTTAATGCTGAGGGGGCTGGAATCATATAACTAATTTCAAATGGTAATTTATAGGGGAGCCTCTTGGAAAGGTGATTCCCCATTCTCCACCACGGTGTGTCGTTCATTAAAATAAGCAAAAATTGCATACACCTGATTTTAATGCCTTCCATGAATTATGCAGGATTTAAGCTGCCTTTTCTCACACTTACATATTTGGACTTGAAAAAAATGATAACCATATAAACATGTGATTTTATCCTTACTGAAAATCCCCTTCACTCTATGAAAGAAGGCATTGAAAGCCTAATCTTTATTTCAGAATATTTTAATTAAAAAAAGCAGTTGGATTGTTTACTCTGTGATATTTCCTATGTGGATAATTCAATTTCCTGAATTCTGGAAAATACCAAGGCTCCCCCTCAGTTGATTCTTTGTACCTAGGTATGCCAGTTATGTGAATGGTGGGCAGAGTTGAGAGAGAAGCAGTGACACTGGCAAATCCTGGGCTCTGGGCTCCAGATGTCAGGTCTAGGAGAATCTCAGAACCTTTTGTGGCTGCCTTTAGATATCAGAGAACTGAAATGCATGCCAAATCCTGGCTTCTACAGCTATAATGACTTAATCCCACCTTCTGAGCATTTTAATTATAAGAACTAGAACTGAGAATAGAGGAATTATCCAGTTTTAAATGAAACAAGAACAAATTTATATGCCCCAATCATTCTCAAAACTTTCCCAATCCAGCCAGAAAGTAAATAAGCAGAACGACAACAAAAGTGAGGCTCTTCCCAGCCCACCCAGATTTCAGACTTGGTGTATCTCTTGCTCTGATTCGACTGAGTGCTTCCACATCATTCCTTGAATCACAGGATTCTGAGTCCCCAGGATTAGGGTCAGATAAGGATGTGAACTTTTCACAGTTTCCTGAAACCACACTTTGCAGTCCTGTGGTTTTGCCATTACATTTTATAGCTTGAAAAATAATCATCTTGCTTTCAAAAAGACCAGGATGGTCAGACCATGGGACAATGTTGCGTCTTTGTACCTGCTGGGATGGGTAGTGTGGGTCAGGGGTAGGAAAGAATGAATAAAAAAAGGATTAAGGAAGCTTTAGAGGTTTGGGGGAAAAGGGGAAGTAGCAGGGGCAGCTCACTCTGAGGCCAGGGGAAGGCACTAAGGCATTCTGTGCCATGCATTGACTCAATACAGGAGTAAACGAAGGGATTATGCAAATACAAGATTAAAACATTTAAATGCACATTACCATTCAAAAGCATAAAGCCACTGAGCTTTTAAACCTAATGATGAAAACATATCTTGGGAACGTTTTATGTCTGGAAATATTCTTGCTAAGGTTAGGGGAGTTGGGTTTAGAAACACATAGTGAGTCTCACTAAAAAGCTGTATTTTTCAAAAATTCAACTCTTTAGTTGCCTCTCAGTAATTTGCCAGCTCTGAATCATTTCTTGCTCCCTCAATGTAGGAGAACCGTGTTAATTATTCGGTTTTTAAATAATCCCCTTGTAAGATCTTACATCTGTAAATTAGAAAGTGCATGTATTTTAAAACCAAAATGGCTTTTAAATGTTGTGTTTTAAACCAAATTTTAGGTTAATTTTTGGTATTTACAAAACAGTCACATTGTAAGGGTTATATTTAAACACATACGACAGACTATCCAGAGGTACACTGTATCCGTTTTTTTTTTTCTGTGTTTTTAGGTATTGCTGACCACATTTACATTGTCTACGCACTGTAAACTGTATTTTTAATTTGGGAGTAAATTAGTGATAACAATTACTTTCTGGCCATATGAAAGCCAGTTTTTAGTGGTACAATAGCTGTGCTGATTGATCATCATCTGTGACATCAGCAAGGAATCAGCTCCAGGGAAAATGATGCTGAAACACAGTGGCATGATTAGGGGAGTGGGAGCATCTGTGATCAAAATGGGACTTGGGGCACAAGCTCACAATTCTATTACAAACTAAAAGGAAAAGTTTCGTTGAACAAAACCAAGTTATTTTATATACAAATGAGAGAATTAACAGAACTTCTCCCTTTTTCTACCCATAAAAAGGAGGCTGCTGCATTAATCCATCAAAGACTTTAGACCTGTTTTTCATTCATATAAACACTGGATTTGAATTGAAACAGCAGTGCTTTTTATTTGGTTTTTGTTTTTTTGAGAGGGAGTCTCACTTTGTTGCCCAGGCTGGAGTGTAGTGGCATGATCTCGGCTCACTGCAACCTCCACCTCTTGGGTTCAAGCAGTTCTCCTGCCTCAGCCTCAAGTAGCTGAGATTATAGGTGGGCACCACCATGCCTGGCTAATTTTTGTATTTTTAGTAGAGACGGGGTTTCAGCATGTTGGCCAGGCTGGTCTCGAACTCCTGACCCAAGTGATCAGGTCACCTCAGCCTCCCAAAGTGCTGGAATTACAGACGTGAGTCACTGTGCCTGATCTGAAGTGTTCTATTATTTTTTGTTTATGAGTAAAGTCAAAATGTTCATGATTTTGCAAAAAGATAAACTTAATTACTCCAGACAGGAAGATAACATTCAGGTAGGGAGAAAGACAGAAATGTGCAGTTGTTTTTCTAGGTGACAGCATAGTACTTACATCCAGGAGGCCATGGGCACCATCGCTGCTTTCCTTGTTGGCTCTACACATGGCTTGGTAGTCATAAAGGGTAATTCTACAGAAAAAAAAAAAAATGGAAGGGAGCTTCACTAAATGAGAAAATATGGGAACCAAATGATGCTGTCATCAAGTGCAACAGTGACAAACACCATGGAGACCTAACATGGATGGTGAACAAGGAGCCCTGCAAAGACCAGTGCTGGAGGCACATCTTACCACTTGGAATTTGAAGAACAAAGAGAACGAAGGTATTGGGAAGGGTAGAGGGGTATGAGGATCCATGTAACTTGATGAAACAGTCATTTGGTCTGAAGAAGGATGGTCTGCATTGAGCAAGATATTCCAAAGGGAACATGCTATTCTGAATTGGATTCCAAGCTCTGGATGGAATTTATTTGGGCCATGTCTCCAGGGTGGAGGGGAACTAAGAAGAGCCACTTTGGGATGATAAAAAAATGGCAGAATTCTGTGTTTCTCAAGCACCAGGAAACAGGCCTGGACCAAGATAAGCCCTATGCATTGACAGTGTGTGGGAAACGAGCTGGCTCCCTAATTATAATTACTACTACTTACTGTCACCACCATAAGAGTGAATGTGTATTATTCTGAAAACAGCATAGCTTATGAAACAAAGTGCACATTTTTTTTCTACATTGGAGATAAAAGTATAGTTTTCATCCCAATTATGACCTTTATTCAGCTGCAAAAATGTTTTACTTTAACACTATATTGTAATTCCCCCATCAACAATTTTACAAAGAAAAGGTGAATGGCAATTTCTGGCAGCATGTGTTGGGACCCAGAAACCATTTCTCCAAAATATGGTGCTTTGACACAAAGCAGTCTGAAGGTCTCTCCGACCTTCCTCCCTGACTCCCTTACCCCCCAACTCTCTTAATGCTCTGTCTCTCCCTAACCACAGGATGAAGTTGTTCTCTGACATTCCCTTACCTAAAAGCCAGACTGGCAAAGTGGAACACAATGGCCTTTCCTGACATTTCATTCACCAGTGCAGATTAAAACTCACATCACAGAGGAAGAGACTGAAAATTAAACACCGCACCTAGAGCCCAGACAAACATCTTCCCAACCCACTGTCCGCTCTCCATCCCATTCCATTTCCACTGAAATTATTTGGTAACCATTGTCTGAGCAGTAGGCCCAATTGTTTCCCCCTCAAAAATCATGTATTATCCCTCAAGTAGCCATATTTCCCATTCTCCCCTCCCTCCATGAAGAAGGATATTTAAGCCTATTGGGTTACTGGGTAACTATTCTGCTATGATTGCCCCATGTTGTCCATTTAAAATAAATTTTGTATGCCTTTTTTTCCTATTAATCTGCCCTTTGTCAGTTCATTTTCAGCAAACCTTCGGGGGCACAGGTTCGCTCCTGCACAGGTTCCAGTATTTAAATGACATGAGCACCTTATCCCATCCTTGAAAGGTATAGCTAAAGGAGTCTTGCATTCCCACCCTTGCCTTCGGCATCCCCTCTCACCATGCCTAGCAGCCCAAAGGACAGACACTTAAAGTCCAGCCTGAGCTACATAACAATGGCCAGATGATATTTTAAACACTTTAATACATGTTCTTCTACATGACTGGATGAAATTCTCCGCACGGGAACTCAACTAATGTTGAGCGCACTTACTGCTGTGCTTGGAAAGTCCTCTGAATGTAAAAGCTCCGTGTAGCAGGACTGGTGTTGGCTGTGTTTCACACCTACCTCTAGCACGCAGTGCAGCACCCAGCCTACAGAAGGCATTCAGTTTTAAAAGGGTGAATGCATAGACAATTGTCTGATTGCATGAATGTTAAATAGATGATGACACAGCTGAGAGCAAAGGGGTCAACTGAATACTGTGAGGTGGGGGCCTCCTTATCTGGACAGTAAGTTATGGACATTACAGATAAATGGATTAAACAAAGTTATCTGTGGACACCAAGCAGAAAACCAGCCACATTTGACTAAATGGAAGACAAAAGCCAGCTCCTAACCAGCAGCACACTGGCAGTAAAGCCCAAGGGGATAGCAGTGGTCACGTAGTCAGTCTTCTAGGTCTGTTCTTCACCAGAATATTTCTTCACTGTCCTCTGGCATTTTTCCTTACAGAGACACAAGCAAAAAGCTTTGAAGCTCTGTTTATGCAAACACAAATGAAGATCATAAATCAGCCAAGAATTAGGCTTGGGGATGCCTCCACACCAGCTGCTCACAGAAATGCTCTCACCATTGACACAGCCCCAGCACTAACCCAGACACCAGGATATGTCACAGAATCAGCTGCACACCACAATGGACAACTCTAATTGGTCCCTGACTGGCCCGCCATGCCACTAACTCCATCCTGACTCAGGAGATTTCTACAGGTACCCCTGCAAGGGCTTTCTAGCATCTGGCAAGAATTGGTATTGACTTATCCTTTTCCCACTGCCCAACACTGTGTCTACAGCTAAAACATGTGCCAGAGACAGGCGAGAGGCATGTTCACAGGAACATGTATGTGCTCAGAGTCTCATAGCCATGGAGGCAGGATGGCCGAGGTTTCAAAGTCGGTCCTGCTGTATATTCAGGGCATTCTTGAACAGGTTGTTGATTCTCTTCAAAGGCTTTGTTTCCTGACTTATTAAACAACTACAGAGACATTCTGATTCTAAATAACCAGCTGTGTAGAAGTACACTAAAATATGCTCTAAGTGTGCTAGCCTTGTCAAGAACCTTACAACAGAAGACTGATTTTATTCTTTGTTAGACTTTGGGCTCTTAAAGCTGCACTGTTCCCAAAGGCTCAAGGGAAGGCAGTGTGACATAGTGAAAATGCCATCTCTGAAGTCAGTGATACCTGAGCTCAAATCCTAACTCATCCACTTATAGCAATGTCTTTTTAACCCTGATGGTGCCTCCGTTTCCTATCTGTGAAATGGTGAGAATAATGGCTACCTTATAGGGTGGTCATCGGGTTAAAGACACCTATCTATGTATTGCATTCGGCCCAGTGCCTGGTACACAGGAAGTATTCAACAAGAGGCAGGGCAATAGGTGCTATTATAACTATTAAGATCTTTCCATTGCCACTACTGCTAATGGACTGGTGTTTAATACAGTGGGAAATGACACAAGCATTCCCAGCGGGCTGAAAGATGAACAAGCCTCCTGGTTTTCTTAACTCATTGGCCCAGACAATGCAGAGTAAAATCCATGCTTTCTACTGCAATACAAGGACACCCTCAGAAGCTGCGCTGGTGTTACCAAGAGATGATGTAGGAACTTCTGTCCCTGGGCTTCTCAGCGGAGGGCAATGATAACAACAGCTGATGTCTACTGAACTCCGTTTAGCAACCATAAGCCAGGTACTCCTCTAAACACATCCCTGCAAGATAGATTACAATCATCTCCACTTTACAGAGGGGAAAACCAAGTCTTAGCCGGCCTAAATAAATATGCCCAAGTTCACACAGATCATTGGTGAAAGAGCCAGATTTAGTAGGGGGCCAAGCTGAATCCACCTCCTTTTGCCTTCTGCTCAGTAGCAGGCTCTGACAGATGCTAAGAAATGCTTAGACTTCAGACCTGTTCCCCAGCCTAGGGTCTGACTGGCACATCACAGGAAATGCTGTCAAAGATAAGGTCTCATAACCAATGTCCAGAATCAACTTCCAACCCAAGCTCAAGGGCTGACGAGGAGTCACCAAGCCAGCGTGGACCAGTTGGCTGTTCTTGTGACTGACTCTTATCATAATGACTACTCTGACAGACAGATGGCAGGAAACTCAGAATTCTCCTTGGATCCTTTTCAAAGGCTCTAGTTTACATGTGGGGGCTAAACTAAATCGCTGTGGGGCAGCCCCCAGGCCAAGGTTCCTGTCTTTTATTTATTTTTTAACTATTACTTTAAGTTCTAAGATACATGTGCAGAACGTGCAGGTTTGTTACATAAGAATACACGTGCCATGCTGGTTTGATATACCTATCATCTCATCATCTAGGTCTAAAGCCCGGTGTGTGTTAGGTATTTGTCCTAATGCTCTCCCGCCCCTTGTCCCCGCTCCTTTATTTCAGAAGGAGGCTTTCCTGATACCATTGCCATTGAGGAGGCTACAGAATGAGCCTTCCCTGTCTTCTCCACACTTGGACAGCTTTAACTCGATTTTGCAGAAAGAGACTTCCAGATTATTACCCTTTTTGAAGTGACTTTGTTACTGTTTTAAATAAACACATATTGTGGCTACCTGTATCCTGTTCGGCTGATTATAGTTAAAGAACATGATAATTGCCTGCCCTCATTTGACTCTAAAATCAGCTCTGAGAATCATGCCCAGCCCAAGACTGGTGCTGTGTGCTGCAGTACGCAGCAGTGGGAGTGTATTGTTATTACAGATAACATGCCTTAATCCCCATGACATCACCGCCAGGCCACTCCAACCGACTTATCATTAGTATCACTGTGTGCCCACACAGATGGGTGGAACTTTGAAACTTTAAACTTTGACACAAGGCAGATAGGGCCTCTGAAGCAGCAGCTCAAAACAACATAAACAAACCCTGGTAGCCCTGCACCCATGCTGGGTAGAGCCTTGGACAACAAACTCATGACATTAGGACATGTTTAAAGCCATTTTGCTGATACTGTTCTTTTCCAAATAGACAAAAATCCTGACCAAGAAAAATATTTGCTCTAAGAATTAGCAGGCTGCATTTTAAGCCAATTTAGGCTGGTTAGCAACTGTGGGGCTCAACATTTATTAAACACCTACTATGTACCATGGCACCAGGTAATTTTCCTGTAATGATTCACTGAATTAGCTCACTTTGGCTAAACGACTGGCCTAACACAATCTTGAAACAGCTTAATTTTGCAAACACAGCCCTAAAAACAGGAATAGGGAGGCATTTGACATAGAGACCCATCATGGGACATAATTAAGCAATTCCTAATAGAAAAGTCTGAGAAGCAAAATGACTCACTAAGGTAGCATGTAAAAATATGTATTATTTGTTGTACTGTAAAATGTGTCCTCTGGGGGCAGCTTTCAACTTGCAATTGAAAAGACA